AACGGCGACTTTAAGCCACGGTCCAGTCCAGAAGACGCTTTTGTGGAGAGCTGTGTGTAATTTCGGATGACATGGAGAGTCCGGGGCTGTAGACAGCTGAGAAATCCTCCTCGGGGATAAATCCCTCATACTCGAAATCCTGTCCACTGCTTGGCTAAGCCAGAAATTCGCTTGAATGTACACTCCATTTAGCTTGAATTTTGCCCATGAAAGCTCTTCATCTCCTCAAAATATGACGGCAATTTTTTTTAAAGGAGTCTTGGGCAGCTGAGGACAGTGTGCAGCAGTGTGTCGTGTTATCTAAATTAGTTATACTTGAAGGCCAATATCTATCCAAGTCTAAAAATTTCCTTGAAGTATCACCATTCTAGTACTTTGCTTTTCCACCTTAAGGTCCTCTAATGGAAATATAAAATCATTAATTCCACTATAGATGAAGACAGCACACAGATAATACAGTTCTATTGATCATTCCTCACCCCCTTGGGCAAAGTTAGCTTCTTTGATGTTTGCAGCAAGTCCTCTTTAAGCCTGTGGTGAGGAGCACATTTCCTTTGCGGCCACCTGTTGGAGCAACAGTATCAAAGACAGTGACTCAAAGAAGCCAAACAATAAAGTCGATTCAGAGACAAGGATCAAGTCGAAGCACTTGGGCTGATTGCGCAAAAATTATGTGAAATACAATCCTAAATGTAATGGACAGTGGACACAGCAGTATGTCCACAAGTATGCTAATTAAGCAACAAAGTGTCTACAGTAGAGGCTTGCTCAATTCTGTGGTAATAAGAATCCTGATATGAAACTGATATGTATCGGGTCAAGGCAGCAGTACTGTGTATACCCGCGGCTCTTTCCAGGATAAGCCTGGGCCTGATGAGGAGCTTCCATATTCACTGCTTTAATATGTAAGAGACTAAGATTAGTCAACTATCAGAACCAAAAATATTCTGTAGATTTATCAAACCTTATGTTCACTCTACGTCAGCCACAGCCAGCCCATTATACTAACACACGGAAACTAGTTTGACTAAATTTAAGCTCTTTACAATACCACTAAAGCGTACATGGGGAAAGCATCTGCAACCCTTCATACCAGTCCTACCACACCATCCGTAGGAAAGTAGGAGCTGAAGGATTCTGCACACACTCAGGTTCACTATGTGTAGTCTGGCTCGCCACACAGTTCACCCTGGGAATCTCTGGATCCTGGAAGCACTGTCTTATTGGTACCAGAAAGCAAAAAACCTGAGCTAAAGACAGGCCAGATGCAGTTCCAACACCTCATTACAGTCATACAGTCATACTGTCTGCAGAAATCATGTTCACACTCTAATCTTCCTTGAATTATCACAAATCAAACAATAATATTCATTAATTAGTACAAATCATGGTCTCAAAAGATTAGTTGTGCAACATGAATATATATTAAGTTCAAATATTCAATTACAGTTGTGTAACTGTAATTACTTCCAAAGCGCTTCATATAATCATGTTCAAGTACAAAATTCACATTAATAACCATTTGCAAGGACTCAAATTATATTTTTATCTCATAAAACGAAATAGAATACTACAATGTTATCCTTTAATTTGGTCAAAATTGCATTTAATGTAGTAGACATCTAGAGGAACTAGAGGTATGCTCAACGTGCTTAATTATCTCCCCTTGCACAGGTAACATCTGGAGAATGCACTAAAAATTGCCCTCTTTAATTACCATAAACATAAACTCAAAATCAGCACAAAATAATCACGATAGCAGTCCTGACTGCTTTGCTAAACCCAACTAACACACCATTAACATCCCAACAGTCTCAGGTAGTGAAGTATTAACACCAATTACCACCAACATCAGCTGCCTTAAAATGATCTTAACAGGTTTTAGTGTTTTTTCCTTAACTCACCGATGACTCTTCGTAAGCACAATCTTAACGGTATCTCTCAAAATCATTCGACCTCTCACACCATTTTGACAACGCCAGCTGTAGAGATGCTACCTGTTCGTGGCACCCAACATGTGGCCTCCCAATCAGGAGATAATGGCAGGAAGCAGAACTAAAAATCGATCACCTGGATAGTTGTGGTTCACTGATTTGTTATTTGGGGACCCTGTCATACTGAGCTCTGCACGGAAACTACAGCAATTTACGAATGTCTACAGTTCCTTACAGTTTTTTTCCTCACAATTTTAAACACACATGAATTACTGAATGACATCAGTCCAACATTTTACTTTTTTAGATGAACATTTTTCAGGAAAAGTTCTAATAACGATTGTAATTTCAAAGCCTGGCTACACATCGTTGGGTGGATATTATAGCAACAGTTTCTCAAATGATGAATCAAAGCGTTCATCAATCAGAGTCAAGATTAAAACTGCTGATGAATAACACTGATCATGTTATTGTGACGCCCAGCTGCGAAAATCTGGGGGTTAAGCAATGATGGAGAAGCTGCACGGCAAAAGTACTCAATACAGTTTAAGCAACATAACTGGCACTTAAAAATGAGCGTTCATGGGATGCGAGGAAACCAGTCCGGGAACATAAATCACCAACCAGAACACACAAAACCTCAACATGTTTACTGCAACAGTGCAGAGCAGCCCCAGAGATTCCATGTGGGCATGGTGTTAGTCACAGACCAGCCCAGGCTCCTTTCTGTTTTTTATATTCTAGCTTGTTTTTCTCTTGGTCTGTTGTCCTGTGTCTATTGTTAAGCATATAATAAGATCAAATCAGGTTTTACTCTTTTTTAGATGGCACTACTTGGAATTAGGTGTAACTACTAAACAATTTATTTATGTGACATCATAAACATTACCATGTTTATTAGACCACCCATTAGAAAAACCATGTTTAAACTAAACTAAACATTTTTTTTAAACTAAAACTATTAAAATGATGATAAAGGTTCTTCTCACATGGTTTTGATAACAGCTGCCATTCTTACTCTGACTGTTATGGCTTCTTAGCAACCATTCTTCCCTTTAAGTATTTTTCCAGTTATCTGTCACTCTGGAGACTTTCGGAAACTCTGATCTAAAAGCATCCATCTCTGTGTAAAGATCAGCAGGGGACCTCTTTCTCTCTCTGGTACTTAAAAAATTCAGGTGTATGCCTTCTGCTTTAGTTAAGTTCAGTTTCCAGCAAAAGACTCCAAAGCATAATGACCACACTGACATCACTTTATGTCTTTCCCTTTGTCTTAGAGACCAGTATCATGATTTGTTTTTATTCTGTCTCTTTAAATTGCAATGGGCTCTCAGAGTTTATCCAAAGTCTATTCTCTGACTAACTAAAGTTATAAATATAATTTGGGCTAAAAGGCTTGTTCTTATTAGTTTAATAACCACTACAGAAAAAATAATTTTGTTGGTTACTATCGATGCTGGTAAATTAGGACAGCTGTGGCATGAACCTATTCATCCATCCGTGGTTTGAAGGTTCCATCTAGACATACTGTACATGTATGTTTATACACAGTTTTAGAGCACTGAGAACTTTTTTGTGAGAGGTTGCAGGCTAAAATATTTACGAAAGGGAAAGAAACCTACTTCGAAACTATCCACCATTGAAACTGGAGCTGATTTCCCCAAACTAATAAATTAGATATACATTCCCAAACATGACATAAAAAAACACACACACACAGTTTCTCCTGCAGATTTCTGCTCTTGTCAGTGGCCATATTTTAGTTTTGAAAAGAAAAGGTCGAGCAAATCCTACATGCCTCTGTGCAGTCTCTTGCTATCCGTGGCGTGTTTACGGTGGAGTCCATGGATCCTCTGGGAAACCACAAAACGCTCCTCAGTATGCAGCCGTAGAGATAAATCTTTACAATCGCAGTACATGAAAATGAACCCTGCAGCAAATGATTGCAAACAGATTTCAGTCTCAGATGTAGAGCTTAGAATACTTACGAAGCATCAGGTGGTACAAAGTAATTACTTTTAGAGGCAAAAACTCTTAGATATCGTGCGGTTCCTCTGTTTTTTCCCTTGTTCCCTGCGAATCCTTGCAGAGCCCTTGTCAGCATTCTTGGTGCATCCCCGGCTCTTTGTTTGCTACTTGCTCCCAGGAAGCATTTTCATATACCAGAAAAATAAATTAGTTTGACTGTGCAAGGCTCCTTTTATCTGCCTCATGCTAAAAGTCTCCAAGGGTGGATTGTGACTCTGTGGTCCTTTCCCCTTATATCTATTTGATAATTGGTTTATTTGTGTATTCTAATCATTCGTCACCCTAATTATTGTTAACTCCACAGCAAGTGGTAGAAAAAAACTACCCTTATATGCATGCATGAGCGCACGTGCCATACTCGGAAAAAAGTGTTTACTTTTACTCTGCCTTACTTTATGCCCTGGCGGAACTGACTAATGGTATTTACTTTAATATTTATGAGGCGCGATTCCCCAGCGTAGTTGCCCCGCTGTTTTTAGCATTACAGCAGCCCAAACTTGACACAGCGGCAGACTGTATCGGAAATCCTGTGAGATTATATCCTATTATATCCTGATCCTTCTCACCCTGGTCACAAACTCTTTGAAACCCTCCCCTCTGGCAGAAGGTTGAGGACCATCAGGACCAAAACCTCACGCCATAAAGACAGTTTCTATCCAGCAGGAACTGGCTTCATCAACAAGGCCAGCGACCCCCACCTATTCTTCTCCCACCCCCCTCTACCTCACTAATTTACCCAATGCTTCAGGATTTTCTGGTCTGTCGTAGCAGATCAACATTGCACATTTCAATTGTTCATTTGCACATTCGGATCTATATTTTTAAAGATTGTATTTTTCAGTTTTTATCATTTCCGTCCTATATTTCTATTTCTACATTTTATGTCTTGCTTCTCATAGAAGTGTTGTGTTGTGCACTAAACACCAAGGCAAATTCCTTGTAAGTCTAAAAACCTACTTGGCAATAAACCTGATTCTGATTCTGATTCTAATAGACTCTCTTTCTCTCTGTGTCCTCTTTCTCCCCCCTCCCTTTGCAATCACCATCTGTTTGTCCATATTGTGCGATCCCCCAGACGCTACTTTTGGCCTGCTGCTGGGCGTGTTTCTGCTGTGCGGCCTGGCTCTGCTGGGCCTCGTTACGCTCGTCTCCTGGAAGCTGTGCTGGGTTCCTTGGCGGACGAAGGCCCACTTCCCCGGTCCCTCCCTCGGCCCTCGGCTCAGCCCGCCGCGGTCGCCCCTCTCCTCTCCGCCGGGTCCCCAGCAGCAGCAGCAGCAGCAGCAGCCGGCGCCGGTCGCCATGGCGACGGAGAAGGTGAAAGACCCCATGGGCTCCATGGGCTTCCTGGAGGCGGCGGTGAAGATAAGCCACACGTCCCCCGACATCCCCGCCGAGGTGCAGCTCTCCATGAGGGAGCACTTCCTGCGCCGCACGCAGCGCATGCAGAGGCAGACCACCGAGCCGGCCTCCTCCACGCGGTCAGTCACACACACACACACACACACGCACCGTCCGACAGGATCCACCGTGATGTCAAATGTGTAAATCCCCCCAAAAAAGCCTGTTACACGGTTTTCCCCAGAGCAGACACCAAAACATCCATAAAATGTCCCATATGAGGAAAATACAATTTTCAAAGCAATTTGCAGTCTGCAAAGTTCATTTTAATGAATGTTCTGACTGTTGAACTGTACAGCTCAAAGGCCTCGTTCCGCAAGTCATTTTTGTAAGGCTAATGACATGTTGTTTTTTTTCCACGAGAAGTCATTTGACGGAGGGCAAAAAAATCTGTTGAAGCTTTGCCATTTACACTTAACATTCCCTACCACATTAAAAAGCCGAGCATAAGTTTTGTATTCTACCAGTTAAACCTCTATGTTCCATAACTCTGGACATCTTTTATTGACATTTCATAATTCTACAACAGATTTACCAAAACCTTTATTGTTATATTTCAACTACACCATTCTGCAATTTAATATAGTTCCACAAAAGGGATTTAGGGATAAACTTTACCTGATTTGCTACGATGCAGTGCCCCCCACGTAAACTGTTGCAGAACCATTAAAGTTTTCGCAGGGGGGCTCAGCTCTCCATCTAGCCACCCACAAACTATTTCAGCCAGACTCTTGAGTTGGAACGGTTTGAATTGTTATCATTATGTCAACCTCATTAGAGTTTATGTTTTAAGCCTTAGGAGTCTTGCATTTTACATCTTCGAGCGAGATTTTATGCAGTATTTTAATGTAAGCTGCTGTTCTATGGGCTGAAATACTTAAACAAGTGATTAATAATGTAAATCAGCCAATGGAAATAGGGCGTACTGTCATTTGTGATCTGGAGAAGAAGATACATAAATATACAGTACGTGTAAGTGTGGTTTCTAATTCAGAAATAACCTAAAATAGTATTTTCCTTAGGTATTCAGATCAAGTTAAATCATTTCTGTTGTTAAATACAAAAGAAATCTAAGCATTTACACATGAAATATATATAATGCAACAACTTTACAGAAACCTAAATGACTTTGCTCTGCTTCTTTCCAGCAACACAAGTCTTTTTTTCCCATTTTACCAGGATACTAGTTTGGTTTCTTGTTTATATTTGCATACATTTACAACCTCCTATGGCGAGAAATATATTTTTAGAAATATCTCCTGCTGTTTGAACACAAAATGATAATAAATTAGCTCTTATTCAACACCTTTGTCTGAGATCTTAAATTGAACATCCCAGTCATCATTCCCATCCTCACAATGGCTCTTATACACAAAGTCGACATTCAAATCCACTCTGTCTAAATTTCTTTCCATTTATTTTCTTTTCAGGCACAACTCTTTCAAAAGACATCTTCCCAGGCAGATGCAGGTGGGCAGTCTGGACCTTGGAAATGACTACATGGTGGAGAAGGAGGAAAAGCCCACTAGCATCGGTCGCATCCAACCTGAGCTATACCAAGAAAATGCCTTGGAATCGGAGGAGTCGTCCAAAAAGGCCAGCAGCAAAAATTGCGGCCGGATTAATTTCTCTCTCAAGTATGACTATGAGAACGAAGCGCTCATCGTCAACATCCTCAGAGCGGAAGACCTGCCCGCCAAGGACTTATGCGGCACGTCCGACCCGTACGTGAAGATCTACCTGCTGCCCGACCGCAAGAAGTTCCAGACCCGCGTCCACCGGAAGATGCTCAACCCCACGTTCAACGAGAGCTTCCAGTTCCCCGTGCCTTATGACGAGCTGGCCACCAGGAAGCTCCACATGACCGTCTTTGACTTTGACCGATTTTCCCGGCACGACATGATCGGGGAGGTGATGCTGGAGAATCTTTTCGAGACGTCAGATCTGTCCCGGGAGACAAACATCTGGAGGGAAATCCAGTACGCAACCAGTGTAAGGATATATTACTTTTTATTTTTCCATTTTCTCCTGTAGATTGAGGATCAGATTCTCAAAAAAATTCTCGTTTTTATTGTTTTACTTTAATATGGGACAGTTTAAAAGGGACTTTGTGTTTTTCGACTGAGTAAGTCGTTATTTGAGTGAATATTGCAAGGTATGTTTGAAAAAACTAAACTTGTATAGCTGAGTAATTATCAGATTGAAATGTCAAGCTCGAGTACTAATGGCAGTAATGGTCACTGTAAGCTCTTTTCCTGATAATTTTGCAGCTGGACAAAACAAGTTATAACAGAAAATGAATTAACGGCAATTCAATTCAGTTCCATTTTGTCAGTTTCACCTGAGTGATATCTGACATAAAACTTTTCAAATACAGATGTTATATGTCTGATCTTAAAGGTAGAGAAGTCAGAGTACCCCCACTCATATTCCAATGATCTGAGTATTGAGTATTTGGCAGAGTTTATCTTTTTTTAAGTTGGAATGAGTGAGCTAGCTTTTTAATGCCCTGCAACGTCCCGAAGTCCACTCTTCCTACTTTTTTAATCTTAAGATCTTCAAATAGACCTGCTACCTGAGAAAAATTGCCTCTTATGATGGAGCTTGGACAAGACTTTTATATGTGATAACAATTATTTTTAATTATATTCTGAAATTAGTAGGGAGGGCCACTGGAGGGAAGTTTAATTAGAAAAAATTGGATCCCTCCCACTGGTTTTCATCAGAACTTTGGCTGCAGCATTTTGGATCAGCTGGAAGCATTTAGCTATTTTTTAGGATAGCCAATAATAAAGAAATATACTGTCTGGATGTAATAACTGCATGCAATAATAGTCTTAGTTGGATGTCTCTATTGATTTTAGTAATTTCACAAAGCAGAAAGAAGGCAATACTAGAAATCTGTTTTGTTTGTGAGTCAAAGGGATAGGATTTATTTTGTTAAATGCTTTTAATTTAAGCACCTGATGGATTTTATCTGATTTTATTGGTAAGTATAGCTTATCAGGATCAGTTTATAACATACTAAAATACTAAATGAAGGCATATTAAAATCAAACCAATTGATTTAGGCAAAGAACCCTGTAAAAAACTACATAATCTCTGTTTACATAAACATATTGGAAACACCAATATCATATTCAGGCGTCTACAATAGAATGCAATGTCCAAGCATATCAAAGGGAGCAATTACATAGGACAACTCAAAATAAGTTTAACTGCACTGCACTCAAGGTTTATTATAGGTGATGCCTGCAGGAGGCTTTCAAAATGACGAGCTGAAAGCCTTGCTGACATGTCGCTTTGCATTTATCACGTCAGCTTTAGCAGCTAACGTAAGTACAAGTTAGTCAGTCAAAGAAAAAGAAAACAAACTTGTAGCTTTCGGCTTGACGTTCTCAGCATGAAAATTAGACAAACAGATGTGGCTTTTCTGTCAGCATCCCTTGTAGGGCTGAGGCTGAGTGTTGTTTGACAGTACGACCACAGAAACATGTAAAAAACTGTTTTTCTTACATTTATGTCGTGATCACAGTGTTTCTGTGACTCATGTCACCTAAAGCTCTGTGCTACTCCAACTTGTCTGAAGTAACAAACAAAGAATGTATATTATATAAGACAGAATGTCAAGCACATGTTTATTTACTCTTGACATCGGGAGATACTGTTGAAAATCAGACTTGACACTTTGTGTGAATGAATTCTTGGATTTTTATCATCTTTCGTATTCTTACTCTAAGCATTTCATTCACTGCAATTTGTTTGAAAACCATAGAAATGCATTTTAATATATAATGACTCATCACACATTCACACACTGAATAAAGAATAAAATTAAAAAGATGTGTAAATGAGGCAAAGGTTCCATTCACGTACCACAGAATATTAATATATAATAAACTGACACACGTGACATTTGACAGCTACTTTTTTATATCAATTTATTTTTCTTGTCACATACCCTCACCCGGAAGGCAGAGAACATTGCCGGGAATATCCAGGGTGTGAGAGGGATACAGCTGGCTTTCTGGCACTTTGGCCTTGGCTTATTATTTTCAGACAGGAGCTGAAATTCCTTTTATTTTAACAAAAACACTTAAGCTTTTGCTTTTCCGACCCCATTCTCTCTGTCTTACCAAAAGCCTACGAAAAAACCTGTTCCTCTACCTTTGCATCCCTGATCACTAGGAGCTTTGTGCATTTTTTTGTTCTTATTTTAGTTCTTATTGCCATGACATTAAATTAAATTAATTGAAATCTCATATGCTACATACCTTGGAGTTAATATACAAGTCGAGTAGAAATCCAATCATTCCCACTCAATAACTAAGAAATACCCCACATTTCTGTTATTTCTTACCATCAGAAGGATATTTATGATCAAATCATGATAAAATATTTATGATGGATTTCTTGAAAGACTGTACCATGTAGAGAGAGTAATCCAAAAACTCAATAACGTGATACTTCACAAATAGCCTGGCGCAATATAAAAAAAGTGAAACGTCATTTTAAATTGCATAACAGAAAGACTCTTGGTCTTCAGAGTGAAATAATCAAACATCATCACTTTATTATGCGTCTCTCTGACGTTATGCATAACCTAGTGCTACAAAATGTAATAAAATGTATATGATATAATTTCAGTTTTATTTAACAAAACAGTAATGCAGTTTCCTCATCTGGATCAAATTTAGTAACGTTAGGCTGTAAATCTGAAAAAAGACTTACAACGTAGCCATGCAAGAAGCTCGGTGTTACATTTGATCCTTCCAGGCATCATTTTCTCGAATAAGGTCTTTCTTGTCTCTGGTTCCACTTTTTGGCACCCCCCGGCGCTCATCACCTTCACACAGGACCTCTATCAGACAGTTCCCCCCCGCCCGCCCGCCCCGGTCGCTGGCCCCCCTCCAGTCCTCGACTCCACTTCTTGAACTTCCTCAAGAGGTTGTTCAATAATCTAAACATTATTGCTGTGTGGGCAGAATGACGCGCAGCCTTCGCCAGCTCGATTGAACCGCCCAATGATTTTATGACACAATCCCTCGCTCACATTAAATCCAAGACGGGCAACAAAGAGAGTGCACGAAGGTTGGGCGTCTAAACTGAAACAAAAACAGACATTAAGCCGGGTTCTTAAGAAGACAATGTGCATCTTAATGCGTGCCGAAGAAAAAGCAACTAGCTCTCCTCAGTTCCTAAATCTATGTGTAATCTTCGTCAATAACATTATCCTCCAGGCTTTGGAGGACGGTGCACATTTATTGATTTCACACTATTTGTTGTGAGTTCAATCACACTAAGTATTCTTGGAGGTTTTTATATGTTAATCATTAGAAGGATTAAGGGATATTATTGCTAAACTGGAGGTAACTGAAAATGCAATTAATGGCAAAGTTATTCTGTAAAACGTATTAATGAAATAAAGCCCACCGGAACTACCGAGTACATTTCTAACTTGTGTAAGATGGGATTGAAAGTTATACTTTTTCTAAGTTATTCTTTTCTATACTCTTCTAGGAGTGTTTGTTTTGTGCCAGTAACTACTCCTAACACTGGGGCATAAGTTATATTTTTCTAACTTTTCATTCTGCAGGCCCTAGTCAGTGAATTACAAGGAAAAAAGACAGAAGAATTGCTCGTATAGAAAGCTCACCTGGACAAAACCTCTTAAAGAATTCATCCTTTTTCTAACATTATTCCAATTTTGAATTGGGATAATGTTGTTTGAGCAGATTAGAACAAACGGAAGCTTTTCTGTCATAATGCACAGCATTCTACTTCATTTTACGAACCATAGGACCAAAGGATTTCTTATTTATTCATTATTTCAAGAGACAAAAAACGTAATTAAAACTGTCTCAGGGTGCACATATGTCAGTAAACGCTCCACCCTCTACTTCTGTTGATTGCCTCCTCGATCTTTTGGACCTTCGCTGCATTTTTTCCTCCTGTGGCTATTTCACTGGTCATTGTGAGGTCACCCAGTTTCATTGACATTTCTGGTCACTGAATCAATGCTATACTTTTTTTTGCCATTGTCCATCCATCCATTTCTTTATACAAACCTCTCCAAGGGGAAATTGTGCTACCCGATGTTGCTGTAGTATATGTTGCTATAGTTGCTATAATACTTTTACAAAACCTGACATTTTCGCTCTAACATTGTCTCTGAACCTTCACACCCTTCAAACTAAATCCCACACTTCACAGCCGTATGGGTGACATTAAGACTGCAGGAATTAGACACACAGGTTAGAATTTGCAAACGACGGAAGTTTCAGCAAGCTCAGTCAGAGTGATTACGGCTCTCTAAAACCTTAATACTGTTGATGGGGCTAACAGCTCTTATGGGACAGATAACAAGAAACACATTCCACCTGAGACTATTAACTCAATTTGGACTCATCCAGGAGGACTGTCTATAAAAAAAAAGTGCAAGATAACATTTGACTCTGTAAGCAGGTTTTGCTTGGAGCGTCATTTTAAGGAAAGGACATTGAGAAAAAAAATATTTTAGAGAAGCAAACTTTTGTCTTGAAATCTTTTATGGTTCCGTTGTTTTTTTATTTTATTTCTCCTGATTGTTGTAAAACATCTAGAGGCTGGGTTTTTTAGATTTGCCCACCAAGCAGTGAAAAACACAAAACTGTAAAGAAATTCCGGAAATATCATAATTTACATTTCAAAAACAATTTCTTCCAGCCAGACAACATAATAGATGTAAAAGGAAACGGTTCGGTTATCCACTGTCAATCTGAACCTTTTCTCTTTTAATATCCCTTTTCCTACAATAGTGTTGTTTAATTAAAAGAAACCCACTCCTGTTCCCCTTTTGGTGATTAACTACCCCAAAAAAATCTAACAAAACCACGATTATGCGCTCACACATACCAATCCTGCGATACGGAATCCACAACACAACAGAGGTGTTAATAAGGCCAGAGCAGTGTGTGCACACCCACACACGCTCCAGTCAAGCTTAGTCTATTCCCACACCTCGAGCTGTGCCTGGCTCAGAGGTGTAACGGTGGTAAATCAACCCCCTCATTCCACTTAAGTGTTTCCAAACATGACAACAGTCCTCAACAAAAGGCCCATCAAGCCTCACCCTGAAACGGACTGTGTCCAAACGCCCTGAGTCAGTGGATGAATTGGGTCAAGAGTCCATCTTTTTTCAACTTATTAATAACGTTAATGATTCTAATTGTCCATGACTATTTTATTAAATAGGAAGAATATTGCAATTTTTTTAGTCTGAAGTCTTTCTTTGGCCCCTCAACAACATATGAAGAAAAAAAACAGAAATCATTTTGATCAAATTAAGTCACAAATATAGTTTCGTCCAGTCTTCCATTCGCTGTTGTCGGGTATATCTGAATGTGTACAACAGGGGTTTTGAGCAAAGCTTTTACCATTGATGCAAAAAGTCTCAGATCCAAAATACTTCTGAAACCATATGTATCAAATATGATACATTTGGCATTATAGGGATAAGTAAGACAAGAATCATTAGTAAGTATTGATTAAGTACTTTTAGTCCTCAGCACGCTGATCCACTTTATTTGAAAGGACACAAGAAAGGGTAAATAATCACAGAAAAAAAGCTTTAACTAAAGATAAAGTTTAAGAAACTAGTTGTGTGAAGGTTCTAATACTGAACACCAGTTCATAACCAATCATGATGATAACAACAACAAATTTATTGAGTTGAATTCATCATGCTGATTGTTCAGTACAATTCCTTCCAACCAGATCTTTGTGTTAACTCTGGGTAGTTCAAAAATGCAGATTTCTGTGGATAAAAACAGCATCTTCTTTTTACTGTGCGTGTGTTTCCACAGGAAAGCGTGGACCTCGGGGAGATCATGTTCTCGATGTGTTACTTGCCCACCGCAGGCAGACTCACACTTACTGTCATCAAGTGCAGGAATCTCAAGGCCATGGACATCACCGGATACTCAGGTGTGTTGTGCTTTCATTTTCTGGCTCATTTCAAGCTACAGCGAGTAAAAAGGTTCTTTGCGAACGCACTTTTACTCTTATACTTATCCTTTTTAATGATGAAATTAACCAGGCAGAATTCTGTTTACTTCCATAGTTATTAAGACCCCGTGCTTGCATTATATAAAAGAACAGTATCAGCAAACACTTGCGGGCAGCCTGTCGTTTTATTAGACTGCCATTCCGTTTTTCTATTAAGTCTTTCTCTACAGTTGGGATATCACTTGTGAAACGTGACAGTTATTGTACATTAAAAGCCAAAATACAGATGAAAACAGAACGAATAGGACATTGTTCCTCCTACGTTTAATGACTTTTCAAATTCTCGTGACACACGGTTTTCCCTTTCAGGGCTTTTGCTTCCCAACAATTTAGTCTCTGTGTGGTAAACCCAGAACTACTAAATGTCCCTTCAAGCATATTAGGCTGTTTCATAAATTTAGAGAAGCTTACATCCGACCGAAGTTTGATATAATGGATCATGGAAGTCGATTCGTCTGATGAAGATTGAAGTCAGCATTCAGAAAGCTTTTTCAGTCGGGCGGCTCCGCCACTATCTTTCGCTTCTCATCTTTATTGTTTCGAAAGGAAGTGAGTCACTTTTATATATGCTACTGATGCCGGGTCCTCCAGGGTTGCTTTTCTGTTAGGCTGAGACACACACCAAACACCAAAGAGGTGATAAAACAGGAAAGTGATGTCATTTTCTTTGCAGAGCGGCAAATGCTGAAACCTTATTTCTAAATAACGCCTGACAATTGCCACCATTGCTACTCTGACAGTTTCCAAATTCTATTAATAACAACTTCGATAGTCTCCAGACATTATATATAAATTTAATACCAATATTCAATTGTTTGCATCCTTGTTATTCCGCTCCTCTATTTGCAATTAGATCCTTACGTGAAGGTATCGCTCATTTGTGACGGGAGACGCTTGAAAAAGAAGAAGACAAGCATCAAAAAGAACACTTTGAATCCCACCTACAATGAGGCCATCATCTTTGACATCCCTCCAGACAGTATGGATCATGTCAGCCTGCACATCTCTGTCATGGACTATGACTTGTAAGTATTCAATGGGGAATCAATTATTATTATCATTAGCAGTTAACAGTTGTATGTGTATTTCCAAATTCCTTAGTGAGAGACTGTGAATATCCTTTATTCAACAGAGTCTTGTTAATCTATTTGAAGCTATTGATTTTGCTATATACAACATTTGAAAAGGCTAATGGACTCTGGACAGTATTAACAGTCATGATGATATTCTCACTTTGTCAAGTATGTTCCATGTGTGATTTCATACATTCGAAGATTAAGAGTTTCATCCAAAACAGGAAAAACCTTCCAAAAGTAGATTACAGACAACAAGATTAAGAGTCAAAGCTGTTGTCAAGACCAAAGGAGGCTGTGCAAAAATGATGTTTCTGAGCATTTGGTTGTTTCAGTTTGTTATTTACTAGATAAACATGAATAAATAGCATTTTTAGTTTTAAACAGGTTATTGAAAGTATTCTGAATATATATTCTAATATATATATTTCCTTGTTTTTCTAGCAGGTTGTCTGATACAATTGGTAAGCAATGTATGTTTATCAATTAAAAAAAAAAACTTCAGCCACTCCAGTGGCAAAAGTTCCTGTCACTTTAATAAAGAAAACAGCTTACTTCTGACTAACCAATTAGTAAAGCTTTCTAGAATGAATTCAATGTCACATTACTCTTCATTTGCAAAGTACAATTAACTTAGGTCTGGAAATTCATGTCTCAACTGTTCATTTAATTTCCTCGTTTCTTTCCTATGCAGTGGAACATCCACTGATTACAGAAAAATTAGCTGGGCGCCAATGTTAGATTTAAGATGGTTGGGAAGCTAAAGATGGTCCACTAAAATGATATTGGCAATGAATAGTAAAAAAAAAAGTCAGTTGTCACTAAATGGAATTTAATTTGGTAAATAAAACCTTCAATATTTTGGGGAATATGATTAAAATCCGTATACCTATGAGGTTCTTCTTGGAAAAGAATCATATAAAAGTGTTTTGTCTTGACAGTGTGTGGATCTAAAAAAAAAAAAGAAAATGAAAAAGTGGTTGCAGTGCAGACAGCTGACAGAATGGGGGCAAGTGTGCTAAAGGTCGGACTCTGTACTCTTTTAAACTTTGTGGTGTAAAAGGAGTGGATGTCTACGGAATTAGAAGGCCAACCTTGTGCATTTCCTCTGCAGCTAGGTATAATGCAAGTGTTTAATCGGGCTATACTATAAATCTAGGGATTTTGTGTTGAAAAGTCTGCTTTCATATAGATTTCGCCTGCAGTTAACCGAGCAGGGATCCAAACTTTGAAGCTTAAGAGATAGGAGTAAGTTCCAGTGAGGTTCAGATTTGCTGGACATCTTCATTTAGTGTGTCCCCTGATTGCAAATTGCTCCATGTAAAATAAAAAACCAGAGTGTAATGGATGTTGAGTCAAGTTCAATCAATGTATTATGGGCATTATGTGTCGTTTTCCACAGGGTGGGTCACAATGAGATCATCGGAGTGATGAGAGTTGGATGCCATGCTGAAGGACTTGGCAGAGACCACTGGAATGAAATGCTGGCTTATCCGCGGAAGCCCATTGCACACTGGCATCCTCTGGTGGAGTCCAAGAAATCTGAGAAAGAGGTAAGTTTTGGACTGAATGACTTTTGGTTTAATCCAGGTGGGAACCCTTTTTGAACCAACTAGCCAAACTTTGCTGTTACGCAATTATGTGAGCTCATTCCAGGAAATGTGAACAAGCAGTGGAGGATTCATCAAATGGAATAATGAGCCTTATTATAGAATAGAGAAAAGGAGAATAAAGTTTGTAATTGTTATATACGTCAACTTGGAAAATAAGGATACTCTAAAGCCAATTGTCAATAACAATTCTGCAGGCATTGTCGCGATGTGAAACCAGACTCAAAAAGGTAAAATGTCCTTTGATATTTTCAATTGTGAGATCAATCACACTCTATTAACAGTGTTGACTGCTGAACCTAGTGAAACAAAACTAATATTTATATCCAGAAAAACATTCTGAATTGTGCAGATGAAATGAGTAACCCAGAAATATATCTAACCATATAGGCCATATAAGCTAACAAGGATGCCCATTGCTGTATGTTGTCTAACCTTCTGTTAAAACTCATCTCTAAAATGATATAATTAGTATGCAAAATGTGAATATTTTTGTACAGTTTTTCTTGCACCATCTGCTTTTCTAGTCTTTTGTTGCCTCCAACTCAACTTGTTTTACATGTTTTCCTACCAACAAATGAAAGATTTGCACATTTTTGTGTGAATTATTAAAGTGTCAAATCAAAACTTTGAATATTTGCTTTTCTGTGTTCTGTCGTGGATTTTTAAAGGTCTATTTTTAAGAAATTCTATTCAGTTTTTATGAATATTTTACAATGCCTTAAACTTTTTGGGGGATTGGATTTAACATTTTTATTTCAAATTAGCCAAATGACACCAAATTTATCGGTAAAAATGTAAAACTTACATCCATTGGCCGGATCTCCCTTTTTGAAAGGGAATCTGTCTCCAAACCTCTGACTTACTGAACTTTTAGAAACTGCAATCAATGATAACAGCTAAGAAGCTTTTATCCTTGGCTGCAGAGATTCCAGGATAGTATTTTGTAGAATTATTTAACCGTCGTTGTTGTAAAGCATTCGATCTCTTCCTGGATCTTCCTTTAGTCCCACTTTTCCCCCTGCAGTGGAAATGACCGAGAGCAGCATATGCTGGATGAATCACTGCTTTGTGTTTGTGTGTCCTGCAGTGGAAGGCGAGAACGGCCAGCTTTGACAGCCAAGGTTCCTGCCCCTCGCCCAGGCCCCCCGCTAGTCCCTGAGCAGAGCCACCTGTGACCCGGCAGCCCACAGGGGGGGGGGGGGTTCTCTCCCTCTTGTTGATCCACTTCCTGTCTGTCTGATCGAGGAGAAAAACACAACCCCACACCGTCTCTCCCTATTTCCGTCCCCACCTTCCTCAAAGCCTAGTCCCAGAGCACTCCTAAGAACGGACCTAGGATGGTTGTAAGTCAGTTGTGTGAAGCACAGTCTTTTTGGGGGTAAAACTGGGTTACTTGTCCAGTCAGTCCAGTTGGGAGAGACTGTTGACTTGTCCAAGGCTAAGGTAAACTGTGAAGTCCTCAAGGAATCCGTGGCAGAACTGGAGATTCAGCTTTGAAATGCAGAGACGCTTTGTCGGAAAAGTCCTTTGACCTTATTCCCCGCGAGCAACGGAAGTTTTTAAAGAGGAAAGCTGAAGATAAGTGCAGGGAATTAAACACGTCTTTACAAACAAGTGTCAAACGTTATGGCTCTCTCACATTTAATCTAAAAGTTCTGCTTTAATCTCAAATAATATGGATTTATCTTTGATTATTCAAACTATTGGGTGTAAACTGATTGTGACGTTGTGTAGATGGGCTTTTATTCAATTTCAGAAGAATTGTCTAAGGCCGGACAGGATAAGTCCCAGTAAAACCTAAATTTGTAGCTTTGGTGCGTCTTTGTAAAATAGATAAATGATATGACTGATTCAAAGCAAGTGGGTTTTGTAAATAGTTCAGTGGATTTAAGATACCATGGCACAACTGGCTTGTACTTCAAACTGAAAACCAACTCAAAATAAAAGATTTTAAGGAACAAGTCTAAAAAAATGAAAATTTTTGGAGGGAGCCATAAATATGTCTGTAAACTGGGAGCACAATTTACACACCTTTACCTCTCTCTCTGTTTGGTATTCACTTTTGAGCAATTACACCTTTCTTCCATGAGAAAACTCACAAAATGTTCGTTTTGCTTCCAAAATACACTCCAAAAGGCACCTTTTGTCTCTTGTTTTGTGTTCATCTTAATGATTTCGTTAGATGTGAATAGCTTTATGTACAGGCATCAGCTGGTTACTGTATTTGTGTTTTGGTAAACTAAAACTAGAAGAAAATGTGAAGAAAAAAATCAACAAAATATTACATTTCTCCACATATTTCTATTTGGGATTTGTTAAGCCTCTCTTAGTTGTCATCAAGATGAAAAACCTAAATGGAAAAAGTTAATATCTCGTCTTAAAAATGCAACTTTGATGTATTCTCTTACTAAATCTACGGTTATCTCCGTGTATAGTATCGAGACAATGTGTAAGAAATTTATGTTCACATGTTTGATCTCCAAAATATGATAACTTTTTAAAGTTATTTGATGTGATAGGTGAAAGAAAATGATCGTTTGTTTTTAAAATGTGGTTCTTTTAGTGGTTCCTGCCAAGTCAGATACAATTTGGTCAACTAAAATATGCACAGAGCACCAGAAAAGGGCTGTGTTGCTGTACTGTAATGGATTTGATCATTGTTCAGGTTAAAAATAGCAGTGCAGTAACTTGTAAAAGACACATTCCAGGGACTGAGATTGACACACAGGGATGGAAAGCGACAAGAGCAAACACACTTGCATTAGTGCCACAAAACATTCAATTATTTGACATAACACATTGTTATCAGATGTGATTTATGTAAAAGTGATTAGTGAGGAAAAGCATCATGTTTGACCAACATTTAATTGCTCTCATAAGGCATTTTTTGGCATTTTATTTTTGATTACATTTATGTTAACAATTAATTTTTTCAATTCATGCTAACCCTTCATACCTGAGTAGACACTTAGCAAGCTAACATCAAAGTTTTTACAGAGTAAAAAAATATTAGGAAATGTATATTGAAATTACATGTTTTCTCCTTTTTTTGCCTAAATGCTTAAAAATGTTGCATATTATAATGCTAATGTGTGGTTTTGTACCTCATTGTTGTGTACTCATTCTAGTTTTTTGTAAATAAGAAACCGAAACATTTCAAAAACAGCCGCTCAAAAGACCGTCGTAATTTCATAGGGACGACCTCGGGTTGCGGTACCTTTGCTTTCATCCAATTGGCAAAAGCAGATACAACTAATGCATTTAGAACACAGTTAAGAGGGCTACAGATTCATTTATCCAAGACAAGGAGAAAAACAGTCACTGGTTTTATATGGCAGAGCTTGTACTGATCAATTCGATCTTATGAAAAGCCCCGGTCAGACGTCTAGGCACAGATGGATTCAGCAGACAAAGATCTGTTTTAGCCATTTCCTTCATAGGTGCATAGGTTTACAACGAGCTGGCTGTTTTGGGATCTGTATAATGGAGTGAAACCAGCGACCAGGATGAGTTGATGGGTAAACATGTCTGCATAGACAGAACAGTAGCATTTCTCTAGTTAGAACTTGTAACTGAGTCAGTGCATTGAATACATTATCGTTTGTGCCTGACGTGATCTATTTTTAGCGTTAACTCCCAGTCTGAAACTTGCTCCAGTTCCCAGGCAGTCGTTTCAGTGGTGAAAGTCCTCCCTAGACTAATAGCATTATTAGGTTCTACATTCTCATTCAAGTATATCATTTGAATCAAGTGATTGCATTATACTGTAGTTTCTGTTACATCTTTATGAACTTGTACTTTGCGATGTTCATATTTTCTCTGACAAATGTGGTGTGTTTTCAAAATATATGAAACCCGTTAGGTCAATTGCCTCATTTTATGGACTATTTCAAGATCTTCTAGCTTTGCCTAATGTTGTAATGTTTCTCGATCTGATCTTGTATTCCCTCCAGCTGTTATGATAGCATTGAATTTTCAATTTTCTATTAAGAATTTTGTATTTGTAATAATAGAAATGTTTAAGAAAATTCTGGTTGACACAGGAGTCTATTCTACTTTTACGTTCTATATCACTATCAAAAAGATTAATCTCAGTGATCTAGTGTAATAAAGTAAACCGAAATAGAAAACAGTATTTCCCCTTTCCTGCATTCTTACTCTTTTGTTTTGTATAAGTCTGAATTTCTTCACCGGAAAAATTGCTTGTTGTTTTCTTTTTTTTTCTCCCAAGGAGTGTGATGTGTTTTGTGAGATGATTTTCTTTTCTTTGATTAAAGACATAAGCAAAACAAGCTCTCTCTGCGCAGCAGGTTTGTGTCAAGCACACCACTTAATGACAGAAAAAGCCAGGGGAACGTTCTCCTGTCTGAATGAATGGACCAAATTACCAAAAGAGGACAAGCATGCAGCATATCAGTTGTGCAAACACGATTAATCTAATTTTGAAAACTGTTATTCTCAATTTTCAATACAGTTTATTTGAAAATATATGTAATATATGCGATATTTCCATGCACAATATCTGAGAAAGTGAACTTAATGAGGGTTGTCAGGGAACATTTGACAGCTTATTTAACAGCCTTGACTTCTTCCTTAAAAAATTAGTGAGCTGTTTGAGGAAACTGTTCGGCTTGTCAATCCAAATTAAAGTTGAGCACATTTTTATCTAAGTGGGCAATGCACAGCTGTATTTATCTCAAAGCAGATACAGAGAAAGGTCCCACTTCAATTAACTCAATTAACTTAATGCTCCCTCTTTTTAATAACAGTTTAAGGTCTCTTTTTTTAGGGTCATGCTACAGTCACAGTATCATCTCTATGGATTTTTTTATATTTTGTGTTTCTTATATGTTAAATATATCAAGTATTTAGTTGAAAATTGTGTAATTTTAGTGTTTTTATTTGATTTCTTGACATTTACCTTATTTACCATTTTTTTAAGGACAAACCATACATGACATTTACAACTTCAGTGCCTCTATCTCCCTCTTTGCTGTCAGACCAAGAGTTTCCTCTTCATGGTCAGCCTGTAAATGATTTGGTAGCCATCGTCCCAGCCGTAAAGCTGTCTCTCCTCGGGGTTGTACTTCAGACTGGCGTGGGCGCCGTACCTCCGGGGGAAGTACAGCAGAGGCGCCTCCTCGCCGAGCACCGCGTCGTTCACGTCGAACACGCACTGGATGCGGGAGCGGCTGGCCAGGCGTGTGTTGTACACCACGTAAAGGGTCCCGCACACGACGAAGGCCGCCTCCGCGTTCTCCCGCGGGCACCGGGTGTCCCAGATCTGCTCTATGTCCAGCGTGGCGGCGTCCATCTTGGCCAGGCTGATGTTGGGCTCGCTGTCGCTGGGGGTGTAGAGGAGCCACAGACCCTCGTCGTCCGCCGCGAGGTCGGCCACGGTTTCCGGATTGAGACCGTAAAGGCTCGCGTAGTTCTCCACGGGGAACATGGCCGTTTCTGTCACGGAGCCCGCCAGCAGATCGTATTTGACCACTTGCACATCTGTATCGGCCCCCTTCTTGATGTAGTACAGATAACCGTTGTACACGGCGCTCCCAAGACCATTCCATTCTGATGGAAGCTCAATGTTCCTGCTGTCTAAAACTCCCACAGAGCGGGAAAAGTCACGTACGGAGTCGAACTGGTAAAAACTGTCTCCCGATGTGCCGTTGAAGACGTACACCTTGGATGACCGCGGATCTCTGGTCCACATGCCTTTGGAGCTGCCCACTCTCTTCAAGATCTTCACTGATCTGATGCTAGATATGATCTCCGCACAGTCTAAAGCCAGAGACAAGAAAAACAGAAAAAGGGAGATTAGTTGTTTTTTTTGTCCTCCAAACAGTGTCGTCTCACAGTTATCCCATGAAGGAAGGAACCCAACTTTTATTTCCCCGGCAGCATTTAACAGGATTATGGAATGTAAGGGGGCGACAGCTTTGATTACACCAAAAGATTTTCCCAAATCCCTTAGCATACTGTACACATACATAAATAAAATCCTATTAAAAAGATAGCCCATATCTTTTCAGTTCAACATTTTACAACCCCCAATCGAAAAAAGATGTATTGCTTAGTGAAATGGAAAATGTATCTCATAAGTCACCACAAATGTCCTAGAAATCATGTACATTTGCAAAGCTGTCATTACATAACTAAATTTGGAATTGAGTTTCCATTTAAATATGTTTTTAAAAAAGTGTCATATAAATAATAGTAGTCAGAATTTTAAGAACGTCAAGAAGTTTGAAGTCACAGTAGATCTATGTCCAAATTAAGGCAAAATCAGAGTCAGGAATCTCTTATCTCTTGGTAAATTGGAGAGAAACTCGTAATGAGACAGCCTAAAGACGCAGTCTGTGAAAGAGACTAACACCCCTGAGCCTAACACCTCTGAGTCACTGGAATAGAAAAAACAAGAGGTTTTCCCTCTCTCGCTCTCACCCCGATCTGTCCAGGAGTGAATTAGCATTAGGCTCGCAGATGTGAGTCGGCTCTCTGCTATGAAGTAAAGTTTGTTCCGGTTCGCTTCACAGTCAGTCACAATAGATCACTATGTGCAGAGCTCAAGCCTGCGAACACGAGCATGGAAAGTAATGCTACTGACCTCGGGCCAGTTTCCTGTCCCTCCAGAGCCACATATTGTACTCTCAGAAGTAACAGAGAAGGCTCTCATAGTATTTTACTATCTCTGACTTCATTTTTTAACAAAACCTGATGTGCAGAGCTAGCATCTTGATTCTGAGCACAAGGGTTATAATAATATAATACAGCACAATTTTTTCTGTTCTTATTTTCGATTATCTCATTAAATCAGTGTAAATGATTTTTTTTTAAAATCAATATTTCGTTATTTGCTTTGTGTGAAGAGTAAATGGCGCCACAGTAATTTATCCATCATCAGCCTTTACAAAAAGTAGAAGTCTAAATTTATAGATCTGTGTTTGCTTAATGTACCACATGCCGAGAAATCTGCAGTTACATAATGAACTAAAATCTAATCTCGCCACATTCGGCATCGTGATTTGAATAGGCTTTGAGTTGAGAGCGCGTTACCTGAGTGCATGGCTCAGTGGCGGTATGAGGATTATAATGACAAACAGGGGAGTTGCTGTACAGGAATAAATCTGTTGCGCCGAGCCACATGTCGGCTGGAAAACATGACTGCACACGGAGTCACAGTGCTTTGCCAAATGACTTGTAACAGTACTGGGGCAGTTTTCCATCTTCCAATGGCATGGCTTTTTCAAGAAAGCAATAATGTGAATGAGTGCTAAATGGCCTGCTGGGATGTATAAAATGTGTAACACAGACCATACATTTCACAAATTAAACAAAAAGTAAAAATATCTTTATTTTTGTGTGTGTGTGTGAGCTCACCAGAGACTCTGGAGTGTAGCTCCTCCCAGTTGTCCTCTTCTTCTTCTTCCTGTCTCTCCATCAGTCCCCAGGCCTCCTGCTCCACTACCTTGTCCACCCTGTTCACACAGGCCCGGGGGGCAGTGTGTGTCTCCACATAGTCCATCTCTCGCTCCACCCGGTCCACTCGAACCGAGGCCCCGTCCAGGTCTTTGAATATCATGCTGTGCTCACTTCTTAATCCGTTCATGGCCTCGGCGGTCAGCTTTTTGAAATCCAGCATCTCTGTGTGGTGCTGATGGAATTGTTCGTGCCACAACTGCATGCGGTCCTACGAGCAGTGCAAAGAGCAACAAGTGTTAAATGTACTCAGAGAGGAGTTTTTTTTTTTGTAGGACACAAAACACTATCTATTCTAGACAATAGCCATTAACACTGCTCACGTTTGAGAGGGGATTTATGAGAAAACCCTCACAGGACGACAGATGCTTGTGTTATATGATTTTTACAGTTAATTTAATGTAAAGTTTTGAACTGTCTTAAAAAAAATGTCAGTTAGGTTTAATTCTACCCATAGCAACATACAAAGATACAAGAGAATTAACAATTGAATACATTGTAGAGAACAGCTTACAATAAACTATTAAAAAATAGGCAATCTCCGGGGAAAAATAAAAATCCTCAGTTTGTGGATCATGAGATACAACAGGAAGTAAAAGACAAACGTACATTGTGGTTAATTTGTTATGTGAAAAGGTACTTTGGAAAAAAAATTCAAGAGCTTCTTTAAGAGAGGGGTGATAGCTGATTTGGATGGTTGTGTTGGCATGGTGTGTTTTTTTTCTATTCTGATACCCAGGCGGGGATGAGCAGGTTTCGAGGAAGTCCGGGGTGGAGTCTGTGTTACTTCTGCAGACAAGCTGTGATCCAACTGCCTTCGATATGAACCGGCCTCAAAATGAACTGTCTCTTCCAGATTGTCCCACTACCTTAGGGATAAAGACGGCCATTCCTGTGGGGGTACTTTTGCAGAAATGACTCTATTCACCTTTTTCCTTGTTCTCCAGCCTTTGGGATCCTGTTTTTTCACGCTTGGTTACCAAGGCAGTACTGTCACACAGTGGAAAATGTTGCCTTGTACCTGTGCTGCCAAGCCATCTGCTTGCCTGAGCCCTGCCAGTCCCTGACTGCCTCTCCCACCCGGACACCGTACTGGATATCCTGTAAGCTAAGATATTTATATCCTGACATACTGAATACACCTCTTAACCTTCCATTCAGCTTCTCATCTCTCCTAGTGTTTCTCGTCTAGACTTAGACCACTGTGGACTATCCCACAATCCTTAAACTTAATAAACTGTTTTCATTTAGCTTCTGTAGTATCATTATCAGTATCAGTATTTTGGGTTTCGTTCCTGTTTACACGGTCATCAGCCATGACACTGATATTCGACTCAAGCAGATACAGGTAGTCAGCGTAGCTCGATAAACAGATGGGGAACATGTTCCCTTTTAGCGAGATAGGAAGTTGCATGCTGGATCATCTCCAACCGTTTAATCACACAAGCCAGGACGCCCCTCAGGAGGGCTCTGGAGCAGTCAGGGTGACTAAAGACCAGGAACGCTTCCAGCAGCCCGGTGACTGGAGGTTCATGGACTGGCCTGATCTTGTGTTGAATAAAACATGGTGGCAACAGAGGCTACATGGTCAGAGAAGGCCGACTGGTCATCACTCATGACACTCAATGATGATGGACTTTGGTTGCAATATCTCTGAGGTAAAGGAGAGTATATTGTCTTAACCCATAAGAATTCTAGTAGCAAAATGATACAGAATTGGAAATTGACCAAATGGACCCACAGACCATGTTTCAAATAATTCTAATAATTAAGAATGAAATAATTAAATAAGGGTTTTTTTCCAAGTATCAAAGGTGTCTAAGTTATTTGGTGTACCATAGGTTACCAAAGTAGAGATATGGGTGTTTTACTCTCAGCTATTCACTGAGCAACTTAATTTAAAATAAATTGACTAATATATTTAACAGAATTTTATACCAAATAAAACAGTAAGAGAGGGACGTTTGAGGTATTTGTCAGCGCTCCTCTTGCTAACCTTTGGGTCTCATTTTCTATGAAATCTGGTTACCTTCATTTGTCACCACGGAATTTAGATGACTGCACAATCTTTCATACTGTTAGTTGTATTTTATATTACCTTTCTTATCTCTCTAAAAATATTAGAGTTGGTAGCATCAAGATCAGACAATGAAACTAATATATCATTTACAGTCTGTGTATGTCTGTTAAATTAATATTTAATCAAAGTAATCAATTGCATAGCTAGCTTCTGTCATTCCTGTGACTCTGTTGGGAAGTAAAGAAAATGGATGGATGGGATTTTGTCACACTATGGAACATTTATCAGAACTTCTGAAAGTCATGGTTTTTCCATGGATTTTAGTCATATTTTTGTCTCACTGTATTCAGAGTTCATGTCCATACATGTATGGTTTCCAAAATGATAAATGCTACAATTTCAGCCTCAACAAAAAACACTGCACAACCCAGGAAGCCACAGAGGGACCATTACTTTTTGGGCCAGCATGACAACTATAATCCATAACCTAAACATATACTAAGTCAACATGCTTTTTTAAATGGACTGTCAGAAAGCATTTCACATTTTATGCAACTTTATCTCGAAACTACCAGAATGCATAGGCAGAACCACAGCTTGATGTTAGCATTGAACGTTTGGCGTGCTAGCATCGCAACTTTAGCATTCACCTTAAAGAACCTCGAGGCCACCTCAGCCTCACTGACTCTCAATCCTGTTTGCACCAGAAAATCTCAGAGATGAATGTGTCACCGCTTCAATCAGTCAAACCCCTTGTCACTTTTTCAGAACAAGACTGTTTTTTCTCAGCGTGGTGAAAAACCCCGGGAGATTGGCAGCCGGCTTGTTCAGAATAAGCTCCGATAACCGCTGTGTTTGCTACATTCTACCTCACCTAAGGTTGTTTTTTTTGCCTTTTTGCTTTCTGTGGGCCTATTTTTAAAGGGAAATGAAAGCTTAGTCTAAGCTTACATAGAAATTCCTGGGTTCAAATCAGTACAGAAGCTGAGCCAGCACATTGGAGAAGAAATTTCAAGTTGACTTTGGGTGTCATGCGTGCAAACCCAAAACATGAGATGTTGCCTCCATTACAAAGTACACATATTACTTACTGTTTTTAACACGTTCATTTCTTTGTTAAAGTTGTCAATTTCTAGATTCTTTGTCAAAAATTCTTATGTTCCTGTTGAACTTTTACCTCATTAGTTGATAGAAGGACAAACATAGTATGATTGTACATTACATGTTGTGACTTGGTGGCAAGTGTCTGCCATAAAAACACACAGGGAACACTAAGCAAAACTTCAAAACATCGGTGGCAAGACTGGAAACCCGATGGTAATCAATAAACATGATTTCGGCTTTTTGAAAGATCATCCACATAATCTAGTCTCCTTGTTTGCCTGAATGTATTGAGCTCCAAGTAAAATGTACACTGATAAATGACAAGAAACAGTCATTATACTATGTGCTTCATAAGAGCCCTCATGTTGAGGAGAACATAGGTATTTAAATAAATTGCTCTGTCAGCAATTATTTTTCAAGCTATTTACTTTACTGCAACATTACCTAATGCTCACTTGTCGCAGAGAAAACAAGAGTTGATTATGTTTGTCACTACCTATAGTTTTTCATTTAACACTCACCGCACCCTAAAAAAAACTTTTACACAATCCTGTCTTTCTGTCCCTACAAGGATAGTTCATTATAAAAACAGAAGTTTATAACAAAAGTGAAATCTCAGCAGTTGTAATTAATCTTTGTTCTGACTACCTTTTCATTCAACCTTGGCAAAAAGCAACATTGAAAAGAACAACGTCTGGGATGTTTGATGTAAAACCAACAGAGGTTGAGATTATACTCATTAATAATGTGTCATTGTGTTCAACACTGAAGATAAAGTAATTTTGCAGGACAGAAGCTGCTTGTGGATTAAGAGGGAGTGCTCTGCGTGCATCAGTTCATACAATATTCCCCCCCGAGGCCCCTGTGAAGTTGATGAGCCTGGCAGAGATTGCATTAATTGTTTTGCATTAGTTAAGACATTGAATTCAAATGAAAGAGGGAAAGAAAGTGATCAGCTGATGCCTCCAATTTTTAATCAGAACACAGAAATCTGCACTACCACTAATAGAAAGCAATAAATCACGAGTCGTTTAACGGGGGGCTTTCTTACCTCAATGGCCAGCAATCTGTTCTCCAGATAATCCATCAGACCCTGGTAGTAATACTGGGCTCCAATTAAAGTCCAGGCAGTGGAAACAAGAAGGATGAACACCGGCTTCATTGTGAGCCGGTCAATCAGAAGGCAGAGTTTCTTCGTCTGACCAGATTTGAAAAGGATTCTACAGGTTTACGTCTGTGTACGTTTCACCGTAGAACTGTAGTGCGGTATCTAAACACTTGAACGGGAGGTCATCCACGACGAACGGAAAAAGGTGAGAGCTCAGAGAGAGTGAGAGGCCGCTCTGAAGGTTTCCAGTTCTTTGAGCCCTCTCACTTTACTGGAATGTTTTCACAAACTCTCAGGGAGGAGCTTTGAGCCTCCTGCCCCGTGCGATCCTCAAAAAAAGTAACTCTGTTCCACTTACGATGTGCATGTGTGCCTGAACTGCTCCTCTCCTGTGATGAGAGGCGCAGAATGCCCTAAATACCATATATTCAGTATTATGGCTCTCCAAGAATCATCGTTTTGCTGTCAGCACATTGTAGCTCATGCACTCAATACTTGATTTCCCGTGTGAGGAGATAATCCCGTAAACACATTAGTCCGGCATCAAAGTGAGTGCTTATTTCGACTTTTCACAGCGTGTCAAGCACAAGCAACACAATGATTAGTTTTTTCTGTCTTTCGAGCATCCCACAAAGTCAGTGACAATAAACCAGCGTGAACAGCTGCAGCATCCATCAAATAGCATGCTTTGATAGAAACCCTTCTATTAAAATGTAATCAAGCTTCTGTCCGAAGACCTGTCAATATAAAAAATTCAATTAAATCAAAAGATTAAGAAAGTTATAAGAAAATCACAGTTTTGTTTGCGGTACATTGCTGATTAAAACACTGGCATATTAGATAAGTGTGAATTGATAAAGTAATTTGTTGTCTAATACTATGGATGACTCTGTTCCGAGTGATTTTTCTTTAGAGTAGACATCAGTCTCAAGTCATAATGGAGGGATCGGCAGCCTTTTCCTGGGTAAGGTTCCACATGTTTTTAACATAAGGTGCAAAGATACATCGTCCAAAACCTAGATTTTGCTGATATTCAGTCTGCCGATAGCAATTGGCTAACTGGCAAAAAGAATTATATGAACCAATAGACTTGCAAATATCCAGTAGCTAGCTGCCTAATATTAAAGCAAAAATGTTCTTTTACACCACACATTTGTCTGTACCTGTCAAACTGTTGGGCTTTCTTCCCATTTACTACACACCTACTTCATGGAGACCACCAACCCAGAGGACTGGTGTACAGCAAGACCAAAGAGCTAAGTTACTTACAGCAAGAAGCAGCGGAGGGTTTACCATCGACTCAGGATCAGCTGGGCAGACACCCGAGGGACTACTAGCTCCCTCTGAAGGTGCTCAGATACTTTAACCCCTGCACCGTTGAGATCATTTTGGTTGGGAGCATCACCACCTGGGTGTGCATTAGCAAAATGCAGGACTTCTTGACTATGAGAAGGGTGATCAAAACCACCTCAGTGTTTAGTCAGGATATGATTCCAACATTTCCATTTCTAATGGCACCATAGAGAGCACAATATGGAACCAAACCGAATTTTCAGGCAGTTACTTGAACGAAAACTAACTCATGACATATTAACTAGATAAACAAAGAGAAGTGAAAGATCTGCTGAATCATTATTTGTAGCATCGGTACCAGTATCACCCCACGATGTTTTCAAGGGTGCATTCCTAACAAACAACCCAAGGGCTCCTTTTCCGAAGGATTCTATAGATAGACCTGAGAGAAGAAGCAGCCGGTGGTATGAACAGCTTCTGGCTCTGCCGGGCGCGGTCTTTCTTTAGGTCTGTTCTGGGCTGATGATCTGTTGATTGACAGTTGAATCGTCTGCCGCACGCACATCCTTCCCGTCTCGTGGAATCAAAATCGCATGACAGTTGGAGATTTTTCTATGTTCTTCAACACGCTTCTGTCAACGATTGATTCAGAAGTTCTTCAAAGGCTTATAGCCTTCTTGTATTGAGGCATTAGTCATTTTTTTATGGTTTCACATATCCATTCGCACTCTATACTATTTGGGGTTTCTGTTTTTTTTCCCAGATGCAATCCATCAATCTGCATGGAACAGTTTGGACAGGTCACCACTTCATCACGAGGCTTTTACAGGGCCAAACCACTATCGACATACACGCTCAGTCCAGTGGGAAGAAGTCAAAGTACTCAAACTGGACCCAATCAGGAATGGAGAGAACACGCAAACTCTTCATAGAAAGAGCGCGATTCAAACCCAGAACTTTGACTTCTCTTGATCTTTAAAGCATACTCTCTCAGCAAAAAAGATATAATTGTTGTTAAGGCTGATTCTTTCCTCTCCAGGATTTATGCTCAATTAAAAGTAGCATGCTGTTGTGCCCGATAGTTTCTGTCTCCTTTTCATAATGAGCTGATGTTTTCTGATTTTTGGAAGATTTATTTGCAGTGATGAATGCAGTTAATAGGTAAACATATCTGAATGTAATTGGTAAACAACCACACTATTTGTTTTTGTATTAAATTGATAGATTTATGGATTGTGTGTGTATGTGTGTGTGTGGGTGCATTTATTGACACTGGGGAGGAAAGAGCTGGAAGTGTGTAAGAGTGAGAGATGATGTGCATGTTGCAAATGTATATAGTTTATTTGCTGGGATAATTATTGGATTTGTTTTTCAGTGGCTTACAAAAATGCATGCGAAATTGTGTGTATTTGTGTAGGTAAAATATTGTATTTAAATATTTCTGTTGGGTGATGATGATGAGTGTGTTTTTGGTTTTGGCATTGAGTTAAATTCGGGTTGAACATCACAATTTACCCTTGTTGTTACCCAACGTTGCAACTAAGGACAGATTTCTTCTTTTTAATTAAAATCTCTTATGTTTTGGAGAACATTTTCTCACGAGACACATACGTGGCTGGAAGAGTTGCCAATCCATATAGTTCCCTCAAGTTCTACCTCTGAGAATAAGTCGTAACTGAGCAGCAAAGATTGTTTACATCTCTACTTTTTCATTAACTTGTGATTAATCAGTCTGACTGATGGAATTATTTTTAAAGCTCTCTTTTCTCTGAATGCAGCAAAAAGCTGAATACACTCACTGGTTACACTTGGTCAGCTAAAGGTGAGAGTTTTGTTAAGAAAGGACGAGGTTGCTTCCACTGCCTCACACTGCTCCAGTAAACACCAAACCAATAGGTGTTTCCATCTAGTCTCAGCTATCTGCATGGGATTCAACTCAGACTTTCCTATTTGCTCCTGAATGTCCGAATGTCTGCTTTGTGGTGGCACAATACCTATAGAAACCAATTATCTGCTTAGACTGGAGACATAATGTGTGCAGTTAGAGGTTTACTTCATGGATGTCTTTCACCAAAGATCAAGCAGAAGTATTTCTAAAAGTTGTGTTCAACTTCGTAATCATATCTGGTGTGTCAGAATGTGATCTTGATCTTGGACAGTTGTGTGTGTCAGAAAATTGAGACAGTGATGGAACGCATGTTGCCTTCATTAAATAAGTGACATGTCACATGGCCTCCACAGCGATGGAGGTCCACACATTTGAAGTCAAACTCACAGCTTTCGCTTATTCCCCCTTAAGCGTTGCTTCTTCGTCCTTGCTGTCTGCACGTCTGTATGTCTCAGCATTAGTTTCAAGCCATTTCCATTTCCAGGAAGGATGTTTCTGAGGTCAAGTACTCTTGACAAAGTTCCTGAGATATTCGTTCCATAGTGAAAATAAAAAACCTTCTAGTATTTTTATCAAGTTCATTTCATATTATTTTCTGCATTTTTGTCTGGGAACAACAAAGAGAGTCAGGAGAAATGCCGCCAGCAACATTTGTATTGTTTTGCAAAACAATTTTTTCAGACCTCATTTCCCAATATAATAACCTGAAAACTTTCTATTCTGTGCAACATCCTTTTGTCTTGATAAAAGGTTGATTTTGTTTCTAATCTACTTTCCACTTTCAGTCTCTTTTGTTATGGTTCCACAGAGCTTTTAGCTGTTTCCACACACTTGCTTTGGCTTAAATGTTTGTGTGATTAATCTTTGAATTTTCTAAATCCCGCATTGACTTGGACTTGGCTCCTCCATCAGTTCCAGCTCCCCGTGTGTCTGTGGATGCTTGTAAGCCTCAGAAATTGCTTCTTAGCAGCTATTTTTTCCATTTGGTCTTCCTCCGTCATTCATCTATTTATGTTCATTCTGGAGGCTTTTTCAAACTCTAATCTAGGAGTGTTCATCTTGAAGATCAGAAGTGGGGTTTTTTTCTGTCTCTGGTTCTCATATCTTGAGTTGTGTGCCATCTGCTTTGGTTAACTTTTTTTTACTTTTTCTTTTTCCTGCTCTTTGCAAAATACTCCAAAGCATACTGAGCACACTGACAATACTTTACCTTCATCTCAGAGCCCATGAAGGCAGTTTGAAGTGCTTCAACTCAGACATCCACTGAGCCCCTAATTTCTTTACTATTTTTAACTAATTTTGATTTTAAACAAAATTCCACCTTTTATACCCAAATGTCTCAGGGGCTTTCATTGGCCCTCTCATGGAAAGAAGTCAGAAATGCATGAAATATTACATTCAACAACATTTATTTATGATCACACATACAGGTAAATATATATATATTTGACATTTTAATCAATAAATACATTTACTTAGTTTTTTGCTTTTTAGGAAAATATTAGGCAAAAGGTGGTGTACATCAAGGAATGGCCACCAGTCCCAAACATACACTCATTCCTAGAGGTAACTCAACTCTTAACATTGTTTCTATTCATGCTATTAGATTATAATTGCAATTTTAAAATCATAATTAAAGGAAATTACAGTGAGGCAGTGTGAACTTTTGAAAAGAAGAAACCGAGAAAGAGTGAAATTGAGAGGAAACATACTTGGGGACCATTCTAAATAATCTTTTATGGGTGTTGTAAAACTAAATAAATTATTTGCCTTCTGTTCAAATTACCACTAACTTGGGTTATATAACACCTTACATACAAACAAAAAAAGTTTGGTATTGCATTTGCCTCATTAACTGATATTTAGTTTCACATCCAAAGATGTTTCTTTTCATATTTTTTTTAATTTTATT